TATATATATATATATATACTACACACACACACACACACACACACACACGCACACACACACTTTTCTGTGGTGATACCCCTGAATAAAATCATTTAAGCAATAGTAATTTCCATATTAGAAAACCCATTTATGAGGTTGGCATAACTTCCCACTACTAAGTTTAAATCAATATAATTTCCAGATTAAAGCAATAAAATATTTTCATTATGAACATCTTATTTACATAGAAATTAAACTGTGGTCCCGTACACACATTACATTACAAGGAAACCATTTTAATTTTAAAAAATTATTTACATATTTGAGTTCTTTGTTCTTTAATACAGAGATTACGTGAACACTGAAAACTGTATGCTAGGCAGATCTATTTATTAGATTTTTCTATTTGTATTTTTTTGTGCAAATTCCAAATCTTTTCTTTTGAGTTATCATCATCTGCCTCTATTTGCCTTGTATTACTGCTGCTGCTTTTTTGCGTACTGAGAAGGCTGGGTGACTTTACTTCTGGGAACAGGAAGAAAAGATTTAACTCTTGAAACACCCAACTCAGTCTTTGATTTACTGTTGGTGCATTCCACAGTGCGATTGCTGCTGAGAGGACGGATCCCATCCTGTGAATAAAATAAAGCATCTTTTTAGCATAAGCACATCCATCGTAAGAACCAAGAACACCAAAAATGAGCAAAACAGTGAGTGTCTACTGTTTACAGCAGCTTGCACCTTTTGGAAGCATGATAGCCACAGGAAAAGGATAAATTTTCAGGTCCTGGTGAAACAGTTACAGTTTTAGCTTTCTTAACCAGTTAGAAACCAATACTCTAATAGAAGTTGCTTTTGTAAAAAAAAAAGCTAACAGGGCATTTCTTCAATAAAAACTTAACATATCACACAAGGACAATGGTAGTGCTCTGCATTGTCATTCAGAAGCCCTAAATGTTATTCTTGCTGGGCGAGCAGGGATTAGAAGCACTCTGGAGGTAATATATTCTCTTTCCTTCATTAAGTAGAGGGAGCCCCTGTGGAAGGATGACAGCTGTAAACTGGGGTTAGGGAGATGCATGTTTAAATCAGGGAGAAAGCAGGAGATCTCTTGGGTGATAAACACAAGATTCAGTATTAGGGCTGGAATAAAATAATCCAGAGACACATTAATTTTTACCCCATCACAGCAATAATACTAAATGGAGCTAAGGTTGAGGTGACATTTCCATTTTAAAACTTCTGTTTTCAGTTGCTCGTTTTCTTATAAAATCATTTTGAAATGTCTTGTGCTTGGCTGCCATTTTTGAGGTACTATATTTTAATGTGGAATGGGACACGTGAGGATTGGTTCTAAACTCTTACTCCCTAATACTGACTATTCCAGATTCTAAGCTGATTTCAGCGGAACTAGGCCAAATTATACCAGCTGATGATTGATACTGCTCTTCTTACTTTTCTCTCTCTCTCACCTCCTCTGAACAAGAAAGGTTCCCTGGACTATATGGACCATTTCCCCCTCCTCTCATCCCCAGAAGCTCAGCAGTCCCTTTAACAGAGGTTTGTAGCACCACTGGCACTTTTAAGTTACATTCTTTTTAAATCTAAATTTAAAACATTGAATAAACACTACTTTAGTGTGAACAATAAGCAGAGGGGTAGGTGTGTATGAAAACCCTCAAACTGCTGCTGGAAGGACACCATCCTACTTTGTGGACTGTTTTAAAATTCACTATCTGCCATACCGGCTCTTCTTCAAAACTGTCTTCACTAGCCACTCAGTATTTCAAAGCATCTAAAACTTTTAATTGGCCTTTCAAAATCCTAATCAAGTACATGTCCTGTGCTAGTAAAATACCACTTGATGTTTTTGTGCCGGTCATAAGATTCAGTAGTTTTGTAAATCTATCCGATCAGCTGATTTGTTGCTGAGAGCTTCTTCTCTTCTTCGTTGGAAAAAAAAAATAAATCACATAATCAGCCAATCATCATCTTTGAAATTCATACTGCAGCGTCTTTCTTTTGTAATGTAATGTCAGGGTAGCAATATTATTTAAAAGTGTGGTGTAGTCATGCTACAATTCTATGGGCAGGTCTACTCTACAGCGGGAATTGACGCTCTGAGATCAATCCACCGGCAGTCAATTTAGCAGGTCTAGTAAAGACCCGCCAAATTGACTGCAGATCACTCTCTAGTCGACCCCTGTACTCTACCCCCGACGAGAAGAGTAAGGTAAGTCGAGAAGAGTAAGGTAAGTCGATGGGAGATTTTCTCCCGTCGAACCCCCACGGTGTAGACCTTGCGGTAACTTGACCTATGGTACGTCAACTTCAGCTACGTTATTTTCTCTCTCTCTCTCTCTCACACACACACACACGGCACAGAGGGTAGTTGCTTAGCATGCAGCATAGGCCAAATCAGTTCCCCTCCAAAATATGTCTTGTCACCACAGAAATGAGGTGACATTATCCCTCTTACGAAAGCAGTTTTCTTATTGCTCCTTTCTACTCATATAGTAGCTGATTTGCTGTGGCAGAAACTGCATTGAGCAGAAAGATGAACTAGCCCTAGGCACTAGAGGCACTGGGGATCTCCATCTGTCTTCAGTATTGCTGCAGAACAGATGGTACTTTTAAAAACCTGTTTGCAGATTCCTAATTTGGAGCCTGAAACCAGCTAATACTCGAGTCTAACTTCCCACGAGAAGAATAAGATTGCTAGGCACTGCTCGGATTTATATGGTAGGGCCTAAGGACAGGATATACATTTCTCTTCCATCTTTTCCAGGAAACAAGTACTGCCTGTGCTAAGGAAATGTACAGAGGAAGAGAAAATGCATGTTCTGCCCAACCTTAACATACTGCACTTACACCATAGCACTGGTCAAAAAGTAAAATACAGATATTTCCAAAACAGCACCTTGGAATGACTTACAATTTTTGTTTCCAATTTATCATCAAGATAATTAACTAAGCTTATATAGTTATTACAAACCATGCTATAATATAGTTTTGACAGAAAAAAAAATCATGCTAACTAACAAAATAAAACATGTAGCCAGATATCAAAATTCATAATATTAGCACAAACGCAGTCAGCTATGTTTCTGAATCATGCAGATATCAAATCACTGCCATATGGGGTTAGGAACTTCTTTGCTTAAATAACAAAAGAATATCAATACAGTAGGTAATCCTTCTTTGTTAAAAGAAAAACACTCTAAAGAAGGACAGTCCCAAACTTTCATCTACCTTCAAAACTGTAGTGGGAACTGATCTCTGGATTTTAAATAAAAATATGGAATATACTCAGTGACATTTTAAATATTTAAGGTAACTGCCAATAGGCCAATAAAAAATACAGTAAGCATTACAATAGAGAGGTGAGAAGATAATTCAGAAAAGTAATAACTCAAGAATGCATGGTATAGCTGGACAGCTGCATTTTATAAGGCATCAAAGCAATTAGCTTCGTTGTACAACTCTTCATAAAAATCTGCTGTTATGTTTATGTCACACATGCTAACTCCTCTACTTATCAATACAGAACAGGGGACTTAAATTTAAACCCTATAAAATAATAGAACAGAGAACATTTAATGAACCTACAAAGCTACATTTATAATTTATTTTCTCATTAAAAAGGAGTGTTATATTATAGATATTATACTGTTGTAATGCAGTTTAACAGAGACTTGCAGCTAATGAATGAAAGCTTTTTCCTAAAACTAATTTATTTTATTTATTTGAACATTTTTAATCACATAGGGCTGAATTCTGCCATCTTTCCTCAAGCTGGGCCAGAGCCCTCACGGTAAGAGGTACCGGCTTTCAGACTGGAATTTCCCACATGAGCACAGACTTCAGCGTAAAAAGCATCCTATTTGCTCCAAGAGCTTCTACACTGGCCATCCTAGGGCAAGAGCAATGTCTTAGAGCTGGTACTGTGGGCTTCCTGGCAGTCTCACTGAGGACTAGGGGCTTCAACAGAGGCATATCAAGGAGCTGCTCATGCTCTGTGTGTCTCCTAACTTGGCTTCTTGTGCCGAGCCTCCATATCATCTGATGAGCTGGAGCTTGGTATTTCAAGGAATCAGTGCTCGATGGGGGATGGAGTGCTTTGGTGGTGATGTTCACCCACTGGGCTTATGGGAAGTGTAAGGAGAACTTGCCTTTAGGTTTGCTGCTTGAGATCCCGCACTTCAGCATCACAGACTTTTTTTTAGCTATCCTTCAGGCTACATGCCCATAGGTGCATGTTCCCTTGTTCTGATGTTGGATTTCTGTTTTGCAGCTCAGTGCTCATTTTCTCTGTTGATCTGGTCCTTCTCTCATTTTTCTAGGCCCTTTTTCTTTTCCTTTTGCAAGTATGGCATCAAAAGAGGAAGAAAACCACTCAGTTTGGAGTTCCAGGATATTTATGTGCATCCTGGATACTTGGGGAGACCACGTTCCCTGTGTCATATAATCGTCCAAGCGGCAGCCTGCCAGGGCTGTGTCGATGATGATAGTCTTGTCTGGGGAAGAAGGAAGAAAGAGACTCCCCCCATACATATGTGATCTGGGTCTGTCCATCACTGAAGTCATGACAGTACCTTGGTGGGGACTATTAGCATGAAGTCCATGGAATGATGGTTTGGTGAGTAAATGGACTGGAGCCACATCTGAATACAGCAAAGGTGGAGTCATGCAAAAGGAGTCACGTGTACATGAAGCCATGTGGCCTAGGAGGGATAGGCAAGTCCAGGCTGGTAGATAGGATTGCTCACAATGCAAGTTATGATGTTGCTCATTGCCTGGAACATGTCTTTTGGCAAATAGGCCCATGCTGTGACTGAATGATGTCAGACTCTATGAAGTCAAGAGACTGTGTGCAGTCTATGATCGATTTCTCAATGTCGACGCTGACTCCGAGGGACAAAAGAAGGTTGAACAACATGGAGGTTGAAGCTTGTGTTTCTTGCCTGGACCACGCAGCTAGAAGCCAATTGTCAAGATATAGAAACATGAGGACCCCCTAAAGTCTGACATAGGCTGCTACGACAGAAATTTTTTTGGTAAAGACTCTGGAAGTGGTGGCTATTCTGAAGGGGAGCACCCTGTACTGGAAATGGTAGGTGCCCACTGTGAATCTCTGGAAATTTCTGTGTGCTGGATGGACATTGATGTGAAAATAAGTGTCCTTCATATTGAGAGCCGTAAACCCCATGTTTTTCTCTAAGGATGGGCTAATCACTGCCAGGGTGATGATACAAAACTTGAGTTTGTGAATGAAGTGACTGAGACGTCGGAATTCAAGGATTGGTCTCCCCCTGCCTTTCTTCTTGGATATCAGGAAGTTGAGTAAAACCCCCTTCCCTGATATTCTGTGGGAACACGTTCTACTGCTCCCTGTTGTAATAAGGAGTTCACCTCTTGGGTGAGGATGCTGTCATGAGAGTGGTCCCTGAAAAGGACAGGAGGGAGGGGTCTTGGAGGAGGTAGCATGATAAACTCGATTGTATAGCCATGGTGGATGATGTTCAACATCCATTTGTCCATTGTTATCGGATTCAAAGTGTGGGAAAAGAGGGCTAAACAACCCCAAAGGTGGTAGGAGGGTTGTGAGGTGATAGACACAGTGGTTGGTAAC